ATAAAAACTTGCAAACATTTTAATTTACAAATTGTTGGAAACAAGTTTTATGTTTTTACAACTTTGTTTTATAACTTTTTGTAAAAACATTTATTTGTTTTACAATTGTAAAACATGTTTTTATTTTTAAAATTCCCACCTTTTTTTCTTCTTCATTATTCTCTTCAGAAACAATAACATAATTATGTTGTTGTTGTTGAGATTCTTTTTCACAAACATGTTGATGACTATTAATGTTGTCAAAATTCATTGTTTTCTGATTATCAGCTAAAGACAAAAGTTGTTGTAATGTTCCGGAAACATTCATTTTTGTTGTAAATATTCCCTTTAAATTTTAAAAAGAAATTTTAAACTTTTCGGCTGTCAATAAAGGCAAAATGCCAAAACATTTTAATTTTTTATTTTTTAAAGGGGAAAAAAAATTCAAAAATCCTTATATTAACATCTGTTACCATTTAAATAAAATGTCTCCATTTTTCTCCCAATTACAATAAATAAATATCAAATTTGTGCCAGTCGTCTTTCCCTACATTGGCATTTTCTTCTTTTATGGATATAAAACCAGAAAATTATTTATTCAGTTTTTAATAGGGAGAGGAGCGCAACAAGGCAAAAATTGGTAGTAGTAAAAATGGACAGTCTCAGCCCTTTTTATTTTTTTACTGTCCAGTAAAAATGGGAGGTGGTCAGTAAAATGTAGGGAGAGTACATATTAAATAGTAGCAGATGCCAATGTGAAGAAATGCTCGTCTTTTTTTGTTTTTAGGCAAATTTGGGTACACTGACTTGGATGTTTTAGAGAACTATAACTCGGGAAAAATAAATTTTTAAAATTTTCTTTTGGTATCATTAAATAGAGAATTAAATTTGCTACAAAATGAAGCTAAATTAAAAAATTTTTTGAAAATCTAGAATAAAGTTGTGGTCAAAAAACCTTCAAAAACGTCAACTTTTAACAGTTTTTTGATCACAACTTTTTTGGTTTTTCTCCTAAGATTTTGATTTTTTCAGATTTTGTAGTTTATTCAATTCTCTATTTAACTATACCAAAAGCTTAGAAAAATTTATTTTCTGACGAGTTATTAAAAACAAAAAAAGGTTAAGAATGTCTTGGTGTTCTCTTTCTAAAACAAAAAATAATATAATATTCACCTCTTTTTTTCTGTCAGAGACTGTCTTCCTCTATTAAACACATAAAAATGCCCAATGTCCAGTCTGGCAAGATAATAGGTCAAAAAAGAAAAAATCTGACCGGCGTTCCCTCACCAGCGGTTGCTGTCCACTCTTCATTTTTCTCTTATTTTTTTCCACATCCTACTACGACCTATACCCAAAAAAATGACGCAACCTTTGACCCCCCATCGCGAAGCTCTTCCTTTCTTTTGGGCACTGAATTTTTGTTTTTGACGAATTTATATATCTTCATCTGTAGACAAGCGTTCGCCTTTAAGGGGGTTTTGGAACAATTTCTGTCTCTCCACTGGCAAATCTTCAAACAAAAAATCTTTTTTCTCTACTTCTCTTCATATTTCCCTTCCATTCTTCTTTTTATTTGGAAGAAACGCCAGTTGCACAGTACTTAAAGAGAAAAAGAAGCTTGGAAGACAAGAAAAACTGACCACAACACTGCCAAGAAAAATAAAAAAATAAAAAGAACTGTCCCAGATAACTGGAACCACTCTGCCATCATTCAGCAATCTCTCCTCTTTGCTGTTGTGACCCAATTATAATTCCCAGTAATGCCCTTTCCTCTCTTGGACAGGGACTACATTTTTATCTTTTCTGTAGGTTGTTGTTTTTGTTGGAAATCTAGAAAAAGTAAAAAAATTGTTAGATAAAAAAATAATGAATATATATAGTAATTCGAAAAAAATTCCAAAAAATCCGAAAAATTTTTTAATTAGTCGAAAATTCGGTAAGCGTCACCGTCAGCCTTACTTATTAAGGAGGAAAGGAGCTGACAGGGGAAACGTGTTATTGAGATTAAAACTTTAAAATCAGAATATTTAATTAAAAGCCAGTCACTAGTAAATAAAATATGTAAACTAATCTGTATAATTAATCTCAGCCTATTTAATTAATTAAACCTAACAGTTGTTTCCTTGCTAGTTTTATTTCCTTGCTAGCAAAAAGGAAAAAGCATTGACAGAACGTTTTATTTGTTTTTATTTTCCAACATTAAAGAAAAACCAGAATAAGTTTAAAACAAAGTTTGTGTGTTTTTCCAACCAAATCAGAATAAGTTTAAAACATTTAGTCAATGTTTTGTGTTTTTCCAACTTTATTAAATCAGAATAAATTTAAAACATTTAAAAAAGATGTTTCCAACATTAAGAGAAATTCTGATTTTGTTTTCCTTTAAAATGTTCGTTTAAAAATCAGAATAAAATTACAACAAAGTTTTGTATGTTTTTCTGATTGTTTTTATTTAACAGAAATTCTGAAATTTTATGTTTCTCTAAAATGTTTATGTTGTTTTTATTAATTCTGATTTTTGGAAATACCTTACAAAATGGAGAAAGTGAGGAAGACAAATTGTTGCTTGTCCACACGGTTGGCTATTAAAATTATTTTTAAAATTAATTTAATTTATTTTTAATTAGATTTGGAGGCACGGAGATAGAGCACCAATTACAACATACCCAACTGATCCCAACGGGGAAAGTCGGTGGCCTTTTGGATTTGGAGAACTTACTGAAGTTTTTTTGGAGATTTTTTTTTTAATTTTTAATTTGAAAGTTGGGAATGCGGCAACAATATTCTCTCGGCCATTTACTTCGAAAACGATATATTTTAGACAATAAATTCATCAGTGAGCGTTATTCCCCTAAAGAGATTTATATAAGAAGTACAGACGTAAACAGAACATTGGCTAGTGCCCAAGCAAATCTTGCTGGAATGTAAAAATAAAATTAAAAAATTAAATTAATGGATATTTATTTAAAGGTTTCCGGTGGGAGTGCCAGGAATTGACATTCCCGATTTGCCAAAGAAATGGCCATCGCGTTGGACACCCATTCCGATACATACAGTGCCTATTTATACAGATAACGTGAATATACGTTATAATTAAAAAATCAGAATAAAATCAGAATTAAATAGCAGAATTAAAAAGTCAGAATTAAAAAGTCAGAATTAAAAAGTCAGAATTAAAAATCAGAATTTTAAATCAGAACAAAAAAATCTGAAAAAATCAGAAATCGGAAAAATCAGAATAAAACAATCTGAATAAAAAAATCAGAATTTTAAATCAGAACAAGTCGGAAAAAATCAGAATCAGAAAATCAGGAAGAAATTAGAATAAAAATCAGAATCAGAGAAAAATCAGAATAAAAATCAGAATTCAATAAAAATCAGAAAAACACAAAAACACAAATAAAACACATTATTAATTTATAGATTGGGAACTTGGACGCCTTTTGTCCCCGTGCAGAACAACTCTTTACCAAGATCAGAACAAGTCCAGCTTATTTAAATGTAAAAAAAGAAAATGAAAAATTCTTTGAATATATTAGTGAAAAAACTAAAAGTTTGTATTTTTAAATAAAATACAAAAAAAAAATTAATTTTTAAGTGAATTTTACACTTGAAAATATTGGTTTACTTGATGATGTTATTTATATTGAAGTAAATAATTTTCGAAAAAAATTTTAAATTATTTTTTAAAGAATTTATACAATATGACTCAACCAGAATGGCTTACAAAAGAAATACAGCAACACATTTACAATTTGACATTTATGTTAGTATTAAAAAGTACTCCTCTTTTTTACGTACACCCTTGGGGCCAAGAAGAGTCTCTTATATTGAGGGGTACCTTAAATAGAGGGGAGGGTGTTTTATAATGAAGGGTACCTTACATAGGAAGTATACTATAGTGAGGGGTATCTTAAATAGAGGGTCTCTTATAATAAGAGGTCGAGAAGTGTCTTAAATAGAAGGTATCGCCTCTCTCGCACCTTGAAGGGGGTCTATAAACGGGAGTATCTATTTTATAAATCTCCCCCTTTATTTTCAGAGCCTTTGATTTCTACTTTGGAATAGAACAACAAATTTATTCTCCGGAAATGATTCGACTAAGAGGAGGTATTTTTAGGGGGAAGAATTTCAAAAAAATTAATTTTTTAAGGAAATTTGCTCGGAGATATCGTAAAAAGAATAAAATTAAAATTGGAATGTTTAAATAAAAATGATAGTAAATGTAGTTGGATATCTAATTTAAAATATTTTGCTTATTCTGCGCATGACACGACGGTCGCTGGATTTTTGTGTACTTTAGGGGATGAAGAAAGTGTTGCTGGAACGGGTCGAGTTTTAATTAATTTCAGAACAAATAAAAGGAGAAAGGGGGAATTAAAAACACAATTATTTGTTTTCAGAATTAAAAATCAGAATAATTAAAATTGTGTTTTTCATGTTTTGTGTTTTTGTGTTTTATTTAAAAGCAGAATATCTGCAAATTTAAATTCTGATTTTTTAAAATAAAATTCTGATTCTGATCTTTTAAAATGAAATTCTGATTTTTTCTAAAATGAAATTCTGATTCTGTTTTTTTTAAATTCTGAAATTTTAAATTCTGATTCTGAAATTTATTTTCTGTGTTTTCCCTTTAATATTCTGATTCTGAATAAACAAAACAAAAACAAAATACAAAAATACAACAATTTAATTTCAGAATTTAATATTCTATTTTCTTTTTAGCTCTCCCCCACTATACCGCCTCTATTTCCATTGAATTATGGCAAACTAAAAATTATGGGCCTGCCATAAAAGTAATTTTAAAATTATTTTTATTTCAATAATTAATTTATTTAAAAGATTCTCTACCACCCAGCATTTCATGAAAAATATTACCCAATAACTGGGTTGACTAAAGGGTGCCCAAAATCTAGTTTTTCAAAAGGTTTTTTTTAGTTTTTTCAATTTTTTTTTCCAAAAGGCCTAGTTTTCCTAGTTTTAAATCAATTGGAAAATTACAAAAATAATCTAACAAAAATAATTCAAAACTTTATCCACTCGACTATACTCCACCTTTTTTTAAGTATATTCACTGCTTTCTTATGGTATTCGACAATAATGTTCTTTAAATCTTCCCTTGATAATTCTGATATTTCTTTGTTGTCTGATAAGCCTTTAGTAATATTGGTAAATTCATACGTCTTATTTAATAAATTGTAGCCGAGTTGAGAAGAGAGGATGAGGAGTCCTTCTAAAAAATTTCTACAAAGTTTCAGTAAAAAAATTAGTTGAAAAAACTTTCCAAACAAATCCCCAAATTCTTAATTAATAAAAATTTAAATACCCATAAATAGAGCTGTTTTTTCTGATAAATTCTCTAGTAGTATTGCATATTCAGGATTCTTTAACTCGATTAATGTTTTTCTGCCTCTGTGATTTTTCATACGTCTTGTGATTTCTGTTGTTATTCCAATATATTTTAAATTGAATCTCTCCTCCCCCCCATCTCTAACTAAATATACCTAAATAGTGCATTGTTAATTTTATAAAATATTAAAGTTTACTTTATATTGACCAGACTCGTTAGAAAAATCGAAATCTTCTTGTTGTAAGGATTCATCATTGAAAAATTCTGACCATTTGTTTGTTGAATAAAAAGAAGTGATTGAACAGGCTAAAGCATTATAATGTCTTGTAGTAACAACATCAGAAAAATAAGATAAACAAAAAAAACATGATTTTTGAAAAATTGAGAATTTTGCTAAAAATGCAAAAACAATAATAGTTTTGTAAAAAAATTTTTACATTTAATGACATTTTCAGAATTTAATTGAATATTTTCCTCGAGTAGTGTTTCAGCTACTTCAAGCAATTCGTCATGTTGCATATTAGACAAATCAAGCATTGAACCCCGCAAATCATTAGAAGGCCCTTTAAAAGTTTAAAAAAATGTTTGTAAAAAGTTAAAAACCAGCGACATCATGTCTTTTCAAAATAGACGGATAAGAAAATTTTTAGACGGATTTACCCCGAGATATAAATTTTTTAAAAATATAGCTAAAATTTTTAACTAACCTTAAAACCTGAAGCAGAATCAAAAATAAACTTGAAACAAATAAACTTGAATTGTAAAACTTTCAAATAAACTTGAAGCAACCTAAAAATCAGAATTTGTATTTTTACTAAATTTAACTAGATTAAAACCAACCTTGAAACCAGAATTTTTAAAAATCAGAATTTGTAAAAGCAGAATAAAATCAGAATTTTTTATCAGAAATAAACTAGAAAAACAAGACAATTTAAATTCAAAAAATAACAAAAAAGAAAAGAAATAAAATACGCGAGAGAAAAGATAAAAGAAAGAAATATAGACACAAAGAAAAAAGTCTTGTCAAAACGACATTTAAGAAAAATGAAAAAGACTCAGATTATTTTTGTTAAATTATTTAATTCGAATTTTTTAAATTCTGACTTTTTACAATTAAATAATTCTGATTTTGTAAATTATAATAATTCTGATTCAAGTTTTTAAAGGGAGGGATTTGTGCCCAGCAAATATATTTACTGAAAGAAGCATTAAATTCATTCCGATTAATATTAATAAAGAATGCAAAAAGCGTGAAGAAAATTTTGAAAAAATTGTTAAAAATATTTAAAATGATTTTTTTTCTTTTTGATGAATAATTTTTAACATTTTTAATTCAAAAAATAAAGGTTATTTTGGTGATTTTTTTCTTGTGTCCGCCAGTATAAATCGTCTGTTTTATTTAAAAATAAGAGAAAAATATTTTTTTATTGTAAAAATTTTTGTGTTTCCCCAGAATTAAAATACTTACAAAAATACAAAAAAACCATTAATTTTGTATTTTTCCTACCCATGATTTATTGAGAAAATGTTAGTTATAAAATTTGTCTTTATTTCTTCTTTCGACTGCCCGAAGGTTGCAATATGTACCGGTGTTATCATAGCCCCCAATGTGGTGTTAACCTCTGCGCACTGCATGCGTTACCCATCTCGTTGGGAGTTGGATTGGATCGCCTCTAATACCCTACGGAAAACTCCATCATGCTGCAATAAAATTAAAGTCAAGTGCCAGCTGTAAGGGGTTTGAAAATAATTAAAAAACGATGTTCTAAATTTGTTTTTTAGATTTTACCTTGGTGGAACTAGTCTATGCGCGGGCTCCCTGTACAAAGGAGTAACAACCGTAGATTCTGGGGGCGGACTATATACGAATAGAGGAGGACGGTTGTACTTGGTTGGTATTGCTACTGTTGGAACAACTGCCGAATAAATTTAAAAAATATTTATTTGAATAAAAAAATAAATTTTGCATAGAAAACAAAGAAAAATGCTTGACAAAAATACTGTTTTCGTAACAACCAAAAATAAATTTAAAGAAAAAGTCAAAACAAAAAATTTTTTGATAAAGAATATTCAATACAGGAGTTAAATAGACATAGATTTCCGAAAAACAAATAAAAATTCTGAAAAAATCCTGATAACTAAAAATACAAAAAAGATAGATATTTTTGTGAGACGGTGGATTTGAGAGGAAAATATGTCAATCAATCGAGACAGATTAGTCTCTCAAAAAATTTATAGTTTTAATAATCGTTATCTCCCTCCCCAAGTCTGGTCTCTGGGGTAAGGAATGGTCGAGAAAACTGAAACCCTCCAAACTTTTTATTTTTTCACAAGTCAACCGCCTCTATAGTAAATATAGGGGAGAGGATATGAGTTATTTGTTTTCTGCCCGTTAAAAAAACTCTAAACAAAATAACCACACACAAAAATTATTTTAAATTTAATTTCCTCATCATTTTTTAAATTTATACCAATTCCTGTAAAATATCCAAACATTCAATCATTGTTGTTGTAGAGGATGCATGATACCAAATAAGAATACCAAGTATTTGTAACCAATTAAGTCCTTCCAAACATCCATTTCCTCCTCCTCCAAAATTATTATACTCTCCACAATTTTTAAATTCTCCAGACAAAAGTTGTAAAATTTTGATATAATCTTTATCAACATTGTTTTGTTTGAAAGATATTGAAAGCTATTAAAAAAATTTTTCAGAAAAATTATGAAAAAATTTTTTTGGAAAAAATCGTATTTTTTTCAAAATGTCCCAGAGTTCAAAGACCCAAGTTCCAAAGAAGCAAATCAGATCAGAATTTAGGAAACAAGAATTCAGAATTCTCAAAACTCCAGAAAAACCATAACAGAAATTTCCAAAAAAAATTTCCGAAAAAAATTCCAAACCTGTTTAGCAACCATATTTCTAACTAAACCAACAGACGGACATTTATATAAAGAAAGTAACAAAGCCAAATTAAACAAATTTTGTTCTTTTGCATATTCTGCTGCTTTTTCAATTTGTCCATTAATTAAAAATTTAAAGATTTTTAAAAAAGGTTTTTTATTTGTTGTTTTGTTGTTGTCTTCAATTGAAAGTTGTTCACATAACCAATCACCCATTAAAATTCTTTGAGAGATTTTATCTGTTAAAAAAATAAAAAATTAATTTTAAATTTTTATTTTATCTCAAAATTTTTTTTAAAAAAATTCTTAAAAGAGAGGATTTTATTTTTTTTTCAAAAAAATATAAGGCAGGGATATCACAAGTTATCCGGAAAAGAATTTTTTCAACACAAAACCCAGTCGAAGAAAATTTTGAAAAAAAAACTCGAAAAACACCCTAGCAGAAAAACACCCTCCCCAATATAAATCAATTTGATGAGAAAGAAAAAGGGGGACAAAAAATTCCCTTAATCTTTGCAATTTTTAAAACTTAAAAAAATAACTAAAAAAAACCTTCAATCGTCTTTAAATCCATTAACAATATTTTACAAATTCCATCAAAACTTTTATTCAAATCTTTTCCATTTACAAAAGATTCAGTTAAATATTTATCCAAATAACTTAATATTGGTGATGGAGGGTCAAATTGAACAAGTTGAGTTAATTCCAAATTTTCAAGTGATTTTTGTAAATTTAAATTGTTTTGACGAATATATTGAAGAAAGAAATTCTGAAAAAAAATTTTGAATTTTTTTTGATGAATTTATATTAAGAAAGTAAAAAAATCTTCCTATATTTATTAGAGAAAATTTTAGAATTTTAAAAAAATTTTCGAAAATTTCGAAAAATTTTTTTTACACCAAAAAGAAAATAAAAAGAATACCTTAACTGTAGGAACAATAACTCTCGTCTGATAAATATTAACAGCATTTAAATGTGTAGATGGTGGAATTGCAGCAAAAACCAAATCTTGAAAAAAATTTCTATTTCTTTAAATTACAGGAAATAAACCTTGACTAAACCCAATTTTACAGCTTGGCAAAAGAAAATTAATTCCACATTTTTTTAAAAATGATTTGGACAAATTTTGTGAATCAAGTCCTTGATAAAAATATTTTGGTAAACGCTCAACCAATTTTGATTTTTGAGGATAAATTTGGCCTTGTTGTTGTTCTTTGTTTGCGACAATATTTAAAAGTTTACTAAAAAATTTAAATTTATAAAGAGATTTTTGTATAGCCTCCTTATAAATAATGTAATAAAGGTATCTTGTAGCGAGGCCGCTTGTACACTCTGTAACAAAATGATAGGACCCCTAGTTTTTTATTGATATCCCACCAAATATTAAATGGATTTGTTTCAAATTTTGGTAGAATACAGGTAAGGATATTATGTATCAATATTGAAAAGAAAAAGTTAAAAGCAATTTTTAAAAAAATTTTATGATAATAAATTTGATTTTGGAGTGTAACAAAATGATAGGACCCTTTGTATTTTCGACCTTAGGGGTGGTCCGAAAAATCCACAAAAATTCCAGCAAACATATCTATCGATATCTATAGAAAATACAAAAGAAACAGTTCTGATGTACTCCCATCATCGAGATGTGGTAACCCGAAAATCAGCAGAAAACCGGGGGTAGACGTAATTAAAAAATATTTTCGACCCCTTACAGATAAAATAAAAATTTTATTTTAGACTTATTTGAAAGCTCTTGAAATTTGCTACAAGATAGCATCAATTTTATTTTTTGAAAAAAATTTACCTTTAAGACACAATGCGATAAACTTTCAGGTCATAAAAATCACACAAAAGCCCCCCAAAAAGTGATGAAAATGTGACTTATAAACTAATCTCATTGTTTTTCAAAAAAGAATTTTTTCTGGGTTATGAGATAAAAGCTATCTTGTAGGAAATTTCAAGGGCTTTCAAATAAGCCTAAAATGAAATTTTTATTTTGTCTGTAAGGGGTCGAAAATATTTTTTAAAGACGTCTACCCACGGTTTTCCGTTGATTTTCGGGTTTTCAGATCTCAATGAAGGAATTATATTGGAACTTTGTTTCTTTTGTATTTACTATAGATATCAATAGATATGTTTACAGGGATTTTTGTAGATTTTTCGGACCATTCCTAAGGTCGAAAATACAAGGGGTCCTATCATTTTGTTACACACTAAAATCAAATTTATTATCATAAAATTTTTTTAAAAATTGCTTTTAACTTTTTCTTTTTATTCTTGATACATAATATCCTTACCTATATTCGACCAAAATTTGAAACAAATCCATCGAATATTTGGTAAGTTATTGATAAAAAATTAGGGGGTCCTATCATTTTGTTACAGAGTGTATTGAGGGTATATTAGAGCGAGGTCCAATTCCTATATTGGGGAGGTATTCTTTGTAGCATATAGGGAGAGTCGACTTTATGGAAGGTATCCTATAAGAGGTGTATTAGGGAGAGTTTAAAGTTAATGAAGTCCCTCCGATCCCCTCACCTCTTCTCCTATTATTTTTAAAAGATTTAAATTTAACACAAAAACAAACCTGGAATCAAACAAAGTATCATCAAAACGAAGTTTCTTACAAATTATTTGGTCTTGAAAAAGTTTGGAATCTTCCTCATTAAATTCAGCAAAATCTCCTCCATTGTCAACAAGTCCCGTTGTTTGCTGTTGTAAGTATTCCCTTTTATTATTTTTATTTCCATCAGATGTTTTTTGTATTTCGCGTAAAGGAACTTTTGCTCTTTGTATTAGATTTTGCAGATTGGCAGAATGAATTTTATCACCGCCCGTTTGTTGTTGTTGATTAATATCGATAATGTCTTCATCATCCTCCTCATCATGCTTTAACAAAAAAAATATTTAAAAATTTTCCCAAAAAAGAAAACTTACAAATCCATATTTCGAAAAATGTTCGACTTGAAATATCCAAACCCCCCGAGATGGTTGATAATCAACGAAACACGCATCCATACGTGCACATAAGCGTTCCAATTTGCCTTTAAAATTCATTCGTATCAATTCGTCAGTATCCTTTAAAAATAAAAATTTTGAAAAAATTAAATAATCCCAATACGGAAGACCCATCATAAACTATCGGACTCCGATATAAGATAACCACAATATAGCGGACTTCACTATATGATACACACAATAAAAGGGACCTCGCTATAAGACCCACATATATTGAAACTCACTTCCACCCATTGGAACATAGAAAAATGTTTTTACACATTTTTGGTACTTGATGATTTACAAATGAAGTCCTACGGCATTTAGGGGGTTCATAGAATAAGGTTACCCATATATAGAAAAAAATTAAAAAAAACCTTGATTGGCATTTTAGTTTTTGGATTCATCGGCCAAACATTTTCTAAACTAACTTCTGCAGGTTTATTTAATCCAAGTCCAACTTCCGGTTTTTTAGATTCATCAGGATATACAACAACTTCTTTATTTCGAAAATGAACAATTTCATCCAAATCCAAAGGTTCTTGTAATTCTATAGGTCCTCTCCAAAAAACACTTCCATATCCCAAACGTCCAATAGTTAATCCACCTTCAATTTTACAAATTCCTTTTGAGTCAAACAATGATTCCAAATCTTCTAATAAAGGATTTGAATAATATTCTGGACGAGACAATTTCATTTTAAATTTTTTCTGTTGTGGTTGCTGAAATAGTTGTTGAGTATTTTGTTGTTGTTGTTTATTTTGTTGAATAGGTTCTTTGGGAGGAAGAGTCTTCTCTGGTGGTGACTTAAAAATTATAAAAAGATGTTTTAAATTTAAGGTTTACTTTAGTATTGTCCCTATAAAAACACTTAAACATATGTCTCGACCATGTAAATAAACAGGTGTATAGGTTAGCAATAGGATCTAGTTTTGTTTGCAAATCCCGATACAGCAAATTATCTACTACTAATATATATCTAAAACCCCTAATATTTCCCCTAGCAAATGGCACAAAAAATTAAAAAGACCTGAATTTCTTCAATAGTAGGACGTTCACTCTCCATAGATGGTGATAATTGTAATGGGACAAGAACAGAATTAACTTGAGAAGATTTATCGGCAATAAATGAATTGTCTTCCTTAAAAAAGCAAAAAAAAAATAATTGAAAAAATAATTGAAAAAATTCTCATACATTTGGAGAAGGCTCAAAAACCACAGACATATCCAACGATTTAATTCTTTTAGTGTCATCCTCAGCAAAACTTAAATGAAGTGATGTCGATTTTCCAGAAATGAAAGATTTTTCACTTAAAAAAAATAAATTTATCCAAAAAAATTTTTTCAAAAAACAACCTTGCAAATGATTTTGTCAATTTTGGCTCATGTCTCAATCCTAATGCTGTACCAAATCCAACTGACGGCAAAATAATTAAGGGTTTGTAACCTAAACTTGTATCGAAAGTTTCTGCAATTGAATTTTCCTTATCATAAGTATTAATTCCCTTTGAAATTGTTGAAATAGACAAATCAGCAAGAAAAGAATTTTGAGAGCTTGTAGTAGTAAATTTTTGTTGATCATCCTTTGTACCAAAAATTATTTGCCTTGAAAGACTAAAGAATATTTTTAGAGAAGAAATTTCAAACAAATAGCTGTCCTTCTGTAAGGAGTGCGCCGTAATATCAAACGCCAAAATACCAAACAGACAAAAGCTGCTTAAATAACAAACTAGAAAAACAAAAAATGTCTTTTAGAGTGTACTTTCTCTTTCTCATAATTTTCGCTCTTTTTAGCGTTTCGTTTTTCGTCTTTTTAAATATGAGAGGTTCTGGTTAGGACGTTTTTTATAGCTTGTATTTTGACGTTTAATATTACGACAACGAACCATTTTTGTGTCCGACCTCAAATATAGTTCAATTTTACAAAAACTACAGAAAAATTTCAAAAATATTTAGAAACCTGATAATATCCTGTGCAGATTTCCTTGGAGATGTAGAAACTTTTAAAAGAGGGCTATCTCCATATGGAAGTGAAGAAAGTTGTGATTCAATAATTTCTTTTTGAAATGCTGAAGTATTTAGATTTGAACCAAGTAAAGTTTGACCTTGCTGAGTATTAGCTTAAAAATAGCAATTAGTTAAACATTCAAAAACCCATAACGAAATAACCCAGGATGTGGCTATATTTGTTGATTAGGTATTACAAAAAATGATGGCACATGTTGAGAAAAAGTCAGATCAAGTTTAAAGATTTCAAAATTTCACTTTGGACAAAGTTTCGAACAGAAAAAAAACTAAGGAGATAGGGACAGTGTTGTATAATTTTTCCTTGACTCAAGGTCCAGAACCTTGTCCTCAACCAAAATCAAGGTTTTTTTAAATTTACGATCCCTAGTAGTACGCGACATAACCAGTAAAACTGATAAAAGAAAACCTGTGCTAAATACACCCGGTTGGTAAGAAGCTTGCCCTCCTGATCCAAAAAGAGTTAACGATGGTTTTTGCACAGAAGTATTAGTTTGTCCGAACAATCCACCAGCTGTTGCAGGTTGGGAAAAATAAAAGTAAAAATTTTAAAAAATACAAAATACCAAATGTTTGTGTCGGTTGTTGATTACCTCCGAACGAACCAAAAGAAGGTTGAACAGGTTTTGGGCTGCCAAAAAGAGATCCCCCAATCTGCGTCGGTTGTGGCTGTTGTTGTCCAAATCCACCAAATGAAGAGCCAGTATTGTTGGCCCCAAAAATGCTTGCAGTAGTCTAAAAATAATTGTAAAGTAAATAAAAAGATGATTTCAAAAAATACCGTTGTAGCCCCAAAGGTAGGAGGAACAGAAGAAGCAGAATTAAAAAGACCACCACCAGGCTGTTGAGGTTGTTGCCCAAAAAGATTTGATTGTGAAACTTGACCAAAAGCCTTAAAAAATATTTTAAATTCTTAAACAATTTAGCTAACCGAAACCGCCGGTTTATTCGCTCCCAAAATACCACCACCAGCAGTCGATCCAAACCCTGTAGAAGGTTGACTTCCAAAAAGATTGCCAGTTTGTGTAGAAGGGTTTGTTCCGAATAAAGAATTTGCAGGTTTTGCTCCAAATAAAGATGATGAGGTAGTTGGTTGGGCACCAAATAAAGAACTTGAAGTAGCCGGTGTTGTAGTTGTAACTGAAAAACGGAGGATTAGAAGAATTTTAAAGAATTTAAAAAAAACCAGTAGAAAACAATCCGCCGGGTTTCGAAAACAATCCACTTCCCTGAGGTTGTGCAAAATTTGTTGGAGCAACTGATGTGTTCACTTTCCTTCCCCCAATATAATCATTACAACGAATTTCTTCCAAACTTTTGGTTTCATACTCCTTCATAGCACTTATACACATTTGTTTTGTTTGAACTTGTTGCTGTGACCCTTTCAATTGCATAGTATCAGTAGCAGATGGAGGTGTAAATTTTGCTAAAAGTAATTTTTATGGCGAGAATAAAAGATTTCACAAGTTGAGAAAAAGTAAGATCAAGTCTCTGGATTTCAAAATTTTTCTTTGGACAAGGTTTTGGACCGAAAAAAACTGGAGGGATCCAGAGCACGCCGAGATTAACATGGATCTGAGTCCAGACCATGATTTTTATTGGCGCAGCAAAAATTTTTCCTTAACTCAAGGTCCTGAACTTTTTTATGGCTCTCAACCAAAATAAAAGTCAAAAATTTTTTACTAGTACGTGACATAACCAGTAAAACTGTAAAGAAACCTGTGCTGAATACACCCGGTTGGTAAGAAGCTTGGCCTCCTGATCCAAAAAGAGGTAACGATGGTTTTTGCACAGAAGTATTAGTTTGTCCGAACAATCCACCAGCTGTTGTAGGTTGGAAAAAATAAAAGTAAAAATTTTAAAAAATACAAAAATACCAAATGTTTGTGTCGGTTGTTGATTACCTCCAAACGAACTAAAAGAAGGTTGAACAGGTTTTGGGCTGCCAAAAAGAGATCCCCCAATCTGCGTCGGTTGTGGCTGTTGTTGTCCAAATCCACCAAATGAAGAGCCAGTATTGTTGGCCCCAAAAATGCTTGCAGTAGTCTAAAAATAATTGTAATGTAAATAAAAAGATGATTTCAAAAAATACCGTTGTAGCCCCAAAGGTAGGAGGAACAGAAGAAGCAGAATTAAAAAGACCACCACCAGGCTGTTGAGGTTGTTGCCCAAAAAGATTTGATTGTGAAACTTGACCAAAAGCCTTAAAAAATATTTTAAATTCTTAAACAATTTAGCTTACCGAAACCGCCGGTTTATTCGCTCCCAAAATACCACCACCAGCAGTCGATCCAAACCCTGTAGAAGGTTGACTTCCAAAAAGATTGCCAGTTTGTGTAGAAGGGTTTGTTCCGAATAAAGAATTTGCAGGTTTTGCTCCAAATAAAGATGATGAGGTAGTTGGTTGGGCACCAAATAAAGAACTTGAAGTTGTTGTTGAAGGAAATGTATTCATCATTTTTCAATTAAATTTTTCTAAAACAACACTAAATTGGAACAAAACAAATAAAATTTTGGGACAAAACCACGTGACTGTCTACAAATTTAAAAAGAAACCCAAGCCAAATTATTTCGAAATCAATTGTTGACATTTTTACTTCCTGCTTTCCTTTTATATTGACCTTTTTGCAATATTTTTCTCTAACTACCATTTTTCTAATTTCTCTGCTACTCTGACTACAAGCATTTTTCTAATCTTTCTCTGTCTTTCTTATTAAAGTAGAAAAAATGGAGTGCAATACATCTTTCGCCAATTCCATATTTTGCCAATAAGGATAAAAATACTCATTTTGTCAATGGGGATGAACTGGCAAAACGTGAATTTTACCCTTATTGGCGAAATGTGTATTGGCAAAAATTTTTTGTAAAGTTTTGACGTTTTGCCAAAACTTTAATAAACGCCAATTTTATTAAATTTTTTAAATATTTTAATGGTTTTTCGATATTTAGAAGTCTGTATCTCAGTCCATATTTGAGAAATCTCATTGATTTCGGTGTCATTTTACTCCTCTCGTCGAGCTTTTTTAAATGACCATAATTTGTCTATATTGATAGTAGCTATATTCTTAAATTTTACCATTTTGATCTTATTTTTGTCTTTTTTTGTTAATTCCTCTTTATTCAATTTTTTATTATTTTTTAATTAAATTCATTAAATTTCAGACAATAACACATGCTAAATGGAAACTACTAACAATTCTGAAGATTTTACACTAACCTGTGCTGATTGTGGAGCTTCTGATCCTGGATGGGCATCATTAAATCATTGTGTACTTATTTGTTCTGAATGTTGTTTTGTTCATCGAAATTTGGGTATTTTTGAATTTTTTAGATGAAAAAAAATTTTTTTAGGCCGCCATATAAGCCAAATACGTTCACTAACTGGAGGGATTTGGCACACAAATCAATTAAAATTGATAAATTATTTATACAAAAATGGATCTAATAATATATGGGAACATTCTTTAATTGATTCTCATTCTGGAAGAGTTAAGAAAAAGCCCGTTTCGAAGTTTGAAAATTTTTTAAAAAATTTTTCAAAATTTTTCCCCTGAAAAATTTTATTTTAGTGATCCAATAATCCCCAAAAAGGAAGCATTTATCAATGACAAATATGTTCGACTACTTTATGCAATTAGACCAGCAAAAGATGAATTTACTGTGGATGATTTGTATAAAATTTTTAGTTAAATAATAGCCAGGAAAAAATATTTTAGGAACAGACAGTTGTGGTCTAGTGTTCGGACTGGACATGTTATTACAGCATTAAGGTTGGTTTTCATTTTCTGTGATCATGTAGTTCTGTGGTTTAGTGGTATTTGTTTGGGTTATCTTTGTTGAGGTGTCAGGTTCGAGTCCGTTTGGACGTCATTTTTTGTTTTTGTTAGTTTTTTTTTTATTTTTTTATAATTTTGCAAAATGTTAAGTTGAAATTCTAATTATTTTTTGCTCCATGGAAAATTAAATCATTTCTATTTTAAATATTTTTTGCAGATTATTAGCGCTTGGTGCATCTCCAGATTTTGTCGATCAAGGAAACACTCCACTGGTTTTATTTTAAAAATTTTCTTTAAAATTAACTTAATTTAGCATATTGCTGCAAAAAATGGTCAGGATCTTCAAGTTGAATTATTGTGGATTTATGGAGCCGATTTTTCTTGTAAAAATTCTTGTGGACAAACACCTGCCGAAGTTGCTAAAAAGGAAGGACATGTAAGTTGATTTTACTATTTTTTAAGTAAGGGATTGGACGAGATCTCATGCATTGTTTTTACAGGTTAATAGTAAGGGGTTAGACTAAACCCCCTCCCCCCCCCCGAAATCTAAGGGTGTAAACGACAACCTGGTTTGCCTTAATCACGAGATTAATCCCGTGGGATCCAGTGCAGAGTTGTTTCGGAATTTCGACCTTCGAGGTTTTTTTTTGATTTCCGATTTTTGAAGATTATTTTGTTTATCCAGTCCCCAACTAAATTTTGAAAGAAATCCCGTCCAGAGAATACGATTTTGTTGTAAAAATATTTCTTTTTTTCAAGTTGGAACTATCCGAAAGAATAATTGAACTTTCATTTGAAGTTTCTGATCATTTTTCTCTTTTTCTGTGTGGTTTGTTTTTGAATTTTTTATGGAATAATTTTTTTTTCAAGGTCGAAAACCTTCACACAAAGACAATCAACACTTTTTAATCCCCGATTTGGTCGATCCTTTCATCTCCGAAAGAATGCACAATCTTGGAAAGCAAGTACATTTAATTTCTGATTTACTTTTTGAAAGGCTTGTACAGGATGTTTATGATGAGGTTTTTTTAATTTTGTTAGAAAATTTATTTTTGTTCTTTTAAAAATAGGTTGATAGACGTGAAATTGAATTGCAATGGTCTGCCTTAAATAATTCTCAAATTAGAATGCATAAACATGTGGCTATATTTTTACCGGTAAAAAATTTTTTTTCTTTGTTTAAGAGAATTTTTTCAAGTAAGAGGGAGATCTTTGCAATTATGGGACCGACTTATTTGTTAATTGGATAAAGCAAGGAAGTTGATACTTTCATCTTCGGTTTTTAATGATTATCCATGGAACCCTTTTTAAGTGTTTTTTGTGGATTTATTTGGGATAGGTTAGTTATGTTGATTCTTCCTTCTTGCGTTTTATTTTGTTTTACCTGTTTTCCTGATTTCTAAAATTCGGTCTGAACAATCCTCGTATACAATTAACAATAAGCTTGACGGTTCCGAATATCTGTAACGGAAAAATATAGATTGACTCAGAATCACTGAAGGGTTTTCTTTATAGGTAAAGTAGTTTTTGTAGACTATTTTTAAGAAAAAAATTTCTTTTTCTAAAGCCAAATCCTCAACTTTCTGCTACACGTAACCAAATGCGTCAAAAATTGGCAAAATTTAGTTCATCAGATTTTTTCTATTTGGTAATTGATTTACTTAAAGAAATTAGAAGACGTTATTTTGGAATACAAATTCCTGTTGAGGATGTGAAAAATAATGAGTTTTGTTTGGAGTTATTTTTTACTTTTTAAAAAAATATTTTTTAGAATTTCTTTTTTGAGTGATGAACAATTGGATGGTGTTTATTCTGATAATAGAGGGAAATTGTGTCTTTCTGAAAGTTCAACTGAAAATAGGTTTTTTTTAATTTTTTCCTTCTGTGCTTCTAAAAAGTCCGCAAAAGGGATGTCAAGGATTACTCGAAACCCGGACTTTTTTTGGCCCAAACCCAACCCGAGAAATTTTCGAAAACGCGACCCAATTTCCTCTTCTGATGCCCTTTCTATTCCTTGGAGTTTGGTGTTTTTTTAATTCGGCGTTTTGGCATTACAACGTGTTTCGTCATTAGAGCATGTAATGCTGATAAAATTTGCGAACTCTTATAATATTTGCGGACTTTTTTAAGGGCTTACAATTAGAGAGAAAATCGTTTTTTCCTTTATTTTTAGAAGTCAAAATCATAAAACTTTACATTCTGACCAAGAACATCACTTTTCTTCATTAGATAATTATTTGGAATTAAAAGAAAAATTGAGAGATACAAATGAGAAACTGGAAAGGATGGAAATGTCAAATTCTGAAATTTTGGGGTTTTTTGAATTTTTTTTTGAAATTAAAAAAAATTTTTTTCTAGAACTCTTAAACAAATGCAACGAGCATTGGAAAGATTAGAATATGACCAAACAAATATTCGACAGGAAATGAATGAAAAATTGTGGAAACAATATAATCAATATAATAGATCAGCATCGCCAACACAAGGTTTCTGGAAGTTAAAAATTTTTCTGAAAATATTTTTGTCCGCAAAAATGTTTGCGGATAAAAATTTTATCCGCAAATTTTTTGCGGACAAGAAAGTTTTAAGAATAATTTAAAAAAATTTTTTTGAAGGACAGCAAACTTCAACTAAAACCCCACCTTTACAAAATTCCTTGTCTGTGTCCTTAAATAATGCTACAGCTCAAATTGGTGCAGTAATGATGTCAGCATCTACTTTAATGAGACCTACTCATCAGCAACAACAAAAATATGTTCATAATTATTCTACAGGTTTTTTTGAGATTTTATATAAAAATGAAAACCATGCGGTAATGTCTAGATCCAAGATATTGAAATAGGAGCTAATTATATGAGTTGGATTCGGCACTTATTGTTAGTTACTAGAAGCTTGGACCTTATGCTGCGTCTAAGGGAAATTCTTTAAAAATGGTTTTGGTTGTCCACAGAAAATTTTTTCCCGTAAAAGCTTGGAATATAGGATCATCTGCTTAGGAAGTGGTCAGGTCCATGTTATTGACTGAGGGTTGGATTTGGTACCTAAAAGTCTGTTCCTAATGTTTATATCGCGGTTAATCCCTTCAAAAATTTTTAATTGTCCGCGAATATTGCCTGAAAGAAAAATTTTTCTTTAAAATTTCTTTAAAATTTATTTTTTTTCAAGACACTTATCCATCAACAAAAATTAGTGGACGTCATTCATCTACTAACAATAACACAAATAATTTACTCCCAACAACACAAATACCTTCAATTCCTCTACATTCAGCCCATTCTTCTAGTTCAATGAAAATTCAAAATAATTTACTTGGACATGAAGAAAGATTAAATTCTTTTGCTGGTTCAAGTAAAATTGATGGTGGAACAAATTCTTTTAATAATAATGAAAAGAAGCATTCTTTGGGAAGTACTAATAATATAAATAATATTTCAAATGAGACAAGAAGTTATAGAAAAAATTCGAGTCATTCAATTTCGGTAAGAAAATTGTGAATTTTTTTAAATGTTTTTTGGGGTACTTTTTTCGTTTTCCTTGAATGGTTTTTGCGGGCAAAAAAGTATTTGCGGACAAATATTTTGCCCTTATCCCAAAAGAAGGGCGGAATCGTTTTTTCATTACTTGCAAGGAAAGTAAAAATTGAGAAAAATGAAAGAAAAAATGGAAACGGATGGACACTGACAAACAAAACACTGACGGACACGGACAGTCATAACACAGACGAAGACGTACAGACATAACATGGACGGTGTGTGTGTTTTGTCGGACCGAGTTCGCCCGTGTTTTGTTTGTTCGTGTCCATCCGTTTCCATTTTTCCTTTCCTTGCAAGTAATGAAAAAAAAACGATTCTGCCCTTCTTTTGGGATAGGGCCAATAATTTTTTGTTTAATAGGCTATTTTATGGTCCTTATTTTTCTGTCGATATTTTTGGTGTTATCAAAAAGTATCGAAAAAAATTTCAAAAATATTTTTTATAGCATCTAAAAATAGTTCAACAAAAAGATGTTGAACATTCAACAACAACTAGAAATGAAACAAATGAACAATTAATTAATACATCAAATAAACAAGGAAATTATATGAATAAAATATTTAATGAAGAAGGTTTCTAATATTTTTAATTTTTTTAAATTTTTGAGGACATTTTTTGTATTTGTGGATTTTTTTTATGCGGACTTATTTTTTGCGGACAATATTTGCGGACATTTAATTTTTTAATTTTTTTCAGTATTCCCTGACAATTTAATATTGGAAACGGAATTATTAACTACTGCAATCAAGGTTTGCTTTTTTTTTAATTTTTTTAATAAAATTTATTTTTTGAAGGCATTATTGGCCGATTTACAACCAAATATAGAAATAAATAGTAGAGAAACAAATGCAATGTATCATGCTGATACGGTTTGTTTTTTAAAGGGATTTTTTCTGAATATTTTGAAGGATTGAGGTATTTGCGGATAAAAAATTTGTCCGTAAAGATGTGCGGATTTTATGCAATAGTTTTGCGGACAAATCCGCACAAAATTTTTTGTTCGGGATGTGCTTGCGGACGAATCAACAAAAATTTGCGGATTCGTCCGCAAATAATTTTTTCTCAAATTTTTCTTATCTCTAATTAAATTTTCCTTTTCTAGATCAATCACCACATTATTCGAATACTTAATGTAATCCCAGACTCGTATATCCGTATCGAATCAATTCAACAATGTGCCTTTAAAATGGAAGCAGCAATGAAACAATTATCAAGAAAATGTATTTCGAGGCCTTTAAATATTGACGAAGCTTGTCAGGCAGCTTATGATGTTGCTAAAGCAGCTAAAGAATTGCTAGTTATTGTTCATAAACAAGCTGAAAAAAATGTGGAAATTTAAATAATAAATTTTAACTTTTTTGGTGAATAATTATTTTGATATGACGTTATAACCGTCGATATTTTGTCACATTTTTGCTTTGTCGATCTTTTTACTTTTTTGCTCATATTGATGTTTTGACCCTTTTTGCCCTTGTCGATCTTTTAACAAATTTAGCCTTATCGATGTTTTGACAATTTTGGCCTGATCGATATTTTAGTCAATTTTTGTCGTGCCGGCCTTTTGACTGATTTTGCCCTTGCCGGTCTATTATCAATTTATGGCCGTGACGACATTTTGACTTATTGTGGCTTTGTCGATCTGGTACTACTGAAGATTGTGGGGCTCTTTCTGCGGACTTTTTTGCGGACTTTTCCTCCCTTTCTTTCAAATGTATTTTTTAAAGTTTTGGTTGTTTTGCTTGCAGCAAGTTTTGCTTGTAGCAACTAACTGTCAAAGGATTAATTTTTATGTCAGTTTGAAAAATGTGTTCACCATTGATTTAAACATTATAACGATTTCAATTACTCGATGAACTTCAACAATGGATCACTGATCTCGGAAATAAAAAGAACATGTGATTGTGGAACAGAAATGCGGGTACTTTCATCCCTTGTCCCTCCCCCATTATTTTTATTACCTAAGATTGTATAAAATGGTCAGATTTCCTTCTTCCTCTCTTTCCTCTATTTGAGCTTGGCATATTCAAACAAGACATTGTTGATAAAGAGAAGATTAAAATTAAAAGTTGTTCAATATTTTTAATTGAGTTGTTCAATATTGAGTTCAATTTATTTTTTCAGTTGTTCAATATTTTTAAATATACATAAGAATGTAATGTTTTTACACAGAAATTCATAATGTTATACACCAAATCAATTTTATTTACTGCTTTTTTTAAATTGTTTTCGAAGGCAAAAAAATAAGTGTATGACTATAAAAACTAATCTTCTCTTTATCAATGTCTCGTTTGAATTTGCCACAGGGCAAATAAAAGAAGGAGAGGAAGAAGAAAATCTGACCTTTATGTACAATCTTATGTAAGAAAAATAATAGGGGGGGGGGGGGGGTTGACAGTTAGTTGCTATAAGTAAAACATTCAAAAGAAAGGGAGGAAAAGTCCGCAAAAAAAGTCCGCAGAAAGAGCCCCACAATCTTCAGTAGTACCGTCGATCTTTTGTCAAATTTTTTTTTCGACGCTCTCCCCAAAATAAATACACGTTTACTCATTTTTCGAAATTTTCCTTAAACTTTTTTAACTAAAATTTGTTTATTTAAGGTTTTAAAACAATAAATATATTCGATTTTATTAAAAAAATGCGACGAGACAAGAAAGACGATGAAGCTGGAGCCGGCAATCCTTACGATCATTTAGACAAAGCAACTGTTGTTCAAGAAGTTTGTTTTTTTTATTTTTGATAAATTCTGTGGGTTAGAAACAGACCTGATATAGACAGGGTCCACAAATGTTTGGCGGCAAATGTTTACTTTGCCTTCTACCTCCATTAAGTTTTAAGAATGTTCAAGGATAGTCAGGCAAATACAATGTCAGACGCTTAGATTTCCCCACATCTCCATTTGCGGACGCATGGAGGTATAATGAGATAGTACCAGAAACCAACAAATCTGTGTCTATACACAAGTCTGAGTAAACCTGCCATAGGAAAAAAGAGTGGAATTGAGGAAAGTTTGTAACCATTAAGCAGCTTTTGAAGAAGAATAACAGGGGGAAACGAAGGCAATCCCGGAGAATTGGGGTTTCTTCGAAAAAAAAAGTTTAAAAATAAGAAAAAGGTTTTTTCTAGGGTAAAAAAATATGCTAATTACGAATCTGAACTCGGATTTTGAAAAAGTCGAATCCCGGACCCGAATTCGGAATTTGACCCCGGACATTGTCGGACATTGTGCAAAATGGTCAGTCTTTCATATGCAGGTAGAACTCATCGAGATGCATCGAATGACACCAAAATCGATGAAATCCGACATGATTGGACCGAGATACAGACCCCGGAATATTAAAAAACCATTGGGGTGATTTTTTGGAGTAAAAAAAGTTTGTGCAAATGATACATCATTCGAAAGAGCTCGTCGAGCTGAGTCGAAAGACACAAAAATTACAGTGATTCATCAAGTTTTGACGAAGTTGTGACATAAGTCGCCGACTCCTACAGTACTCCCATAGGTATACTTTATGTCATAACTTTGTCAAAACAGGTCCAATCACGTTGATTTTGGTATCATTCGATGCAGCTCGATGAGCTCTTTCGAACGAGCTATCATATGTATATTCGAAATTCAAGTTCAGTGTTCGAAATTTGGTTCGGGTCCGGGATTCGACTTTTTCAAAATCCGAGTTCAGATTCGTAATTAGGGTAATTCCAAGGCTGGTCCCCCCCCCCCTTTTTTTCTGTTCGCCTGACCATTTTGAGATTTTTTGCTTGACATATAATTTACAATATATCATTCGAAAGAGCTGTTCGAGCTGAGTAGAATGATACTATGATCGGATAGATTTGTCGATTTTCAACCAAATTATGAAGCTAAATCCTTGATGGACATGCTTTTTGTGATATTTAAAGAGATTAAAACAAATAGTCATAACTATGTTTATTTAAGTCGGATTTCGATGAATTTAGTACCGTTCTACTCAGCTTGAAGAGCTCTTTCGAATGATATATAAAATGTCATAAAAAGTTTAAAAAATCGAAAAAAAATTGAAAGGAAAAAAAGGGGGGGACCAGCCTTGGAATTACCGTAATTAGCATATTTTTTTACCCTAGAAAAAACCTTTTTCTTATTTTTAAACTTTTTTTTCGAAGAAACCCCAATTCTCCGGGATTGCCGAAACGAAACTTGGAGTGACCCAATTTAAAAAATTTTTACTTTTTAAAGACTCGAGCATTCAACGAAACTCCAATAAATGCAAGAAAATGCCGCCCAATTTTGTGTAAATTACTTTATTTAATTCAACATGGAGAGACTATTGGAAAGACTGAGGCTACCGATACTTTTTTTGCTATAACGAAATTGTGGCAGGCAAAGGATGTTACTTTAAGAATGTTGGTGTATTTGGCTATTAAAGAATTGTGTACAATTTCTAGTGATGTTATTATTGTTACTAGCAGGTTTTTTTGCCTATTAATTTGGGGGTTTATTGAACTAGGGGAGATCCTGGGAGTAGAGTACGGAGTCTAGGGGAACTGATGTGAGCATTCTCCAAGCTTGATCGAGCTTCTGGACATTGAGTTCGAGTTCTTTAAGTGTTTTAAGTTCATTTTTAATTTCACGCCCAAGATCCTGGTCAGTCTTGGAGTTCTTCTGGATCTTGTCAATCTTAGATCATAAACCAAAACAATAGACAAATCCCAAATTTTTTAAAGGCACTCGCTACCTATTCCCTGTACTGATTTCTTTTGGTTTCTTTTGTTTTGGGTCCTTTTTCTTGTGACCTTTTTCAATAAAACCTCCCTCTTTTTAGTTTAACAAAAGACATGACTGGCCGTGAAGATGTCTATCGTCCATCTGCAATTCGTGCCCTATGCCGTATTTTAACCGATACAGGAATGCTGCAAGCAATAGAACGTTATATGAAGCAAGCTATAGTCGACAAAGTCCCTTCAGTCTCTTCAGCGGCGTTAGTTTCTTCACTTCATTTAATGAAACGAAGTCCAGACGTTGTTCGTCGTTGGGCAAATGAAGTACAGGAAGCCGTTTCTTCTGACAACCATATGGTCCAATTTCATGCTCTAAGTCTTCTCTACCAAATACGTTCAAGTGATCGTCTTGCTATCCTCAAAATGGTTCAAAAATTTAGCAAATCTGGACTGCGTTCGCCGTTGGCTATTTGCTATTTAATTCGAATTGCGGCAAAATTGGTGGAAGAAGATGATGGAAGGTTTTTTTGGTTTTGTTAAATTTTAAAGATTATTCTTATTTTTAGTGACCGCATTGCATTTCAATTTATCGAAAGTTGTTTGCGAAATAAACACGAAATGGTGGTTTATGAAGCTGCTTCAGCTATTGTTAGAATGCCTTCGATTTCTAGGTTAGTTTTAATTCGATTTAAGGAAAGTTTGATAACAGAAGGTGTGGGTGTAATGGTTAGTGTGTTAGATTCACGAGGTGTTGGGTTCTAGGTTCGGGTCCTTCTGTCTTCCGGAACTTTTTAATTCATCAAATTTTATTTTTTAACCTTCCTTCTCCTTTTCTTTTAATTTCCAATCATCTAAAAAATATTTTTTTTCAGTGGAGAATTAGCTTCAGCAATAAGTGTTCTTCAAATTTTTTTGTCTTCTCCAAAATCTGCTCTTCGTTTTGCTGCTGTACGTACATTAAATCGAATTTCCATCAATTACCCCCAAGCAGTAATTTCGTGTAATGTTGATTTGGAACAACTTATAACGGATCAAAATCGCTCTATCGCAACGTTAGCAATAACTACACTTTTAAAAACTGGTGCTGAAGCTTCTGTTGAACGTTTAATGAAACAAATTGGAACTTTTGTTAGTGAAATAAGTGATGAATTTAAAGTTTGTTTTTTTCCTTTAAAATTTATTGGAATGTTCGGGGTTTTTTTATTTATGCTTCTAAGGGTTCCATATTGCTCAAAAAATTATCATTAATTTTTTAAAAATAATTCTATCATTAAAATACGAATAATAATTTTTGAGGACAAAACTTGCGGACTTTTAGCAGTTATTTTTGGCCATATTATTATTATTTTGGTCTCAAAACTGGGTGATACGGGAATCTAGAAAAAATTTTTAATAAAAGTGGGAAAAATTAAGGGATAAATTGTCTCATTAATTTCTTTTTTTAAAGATTGTTGTAATCGAAGCAATTCGTTCTCTCTGTGTTCGCTATCCACGTAAACATGCAACTTTAATGAATTTTTTGGCTTCAATGTTACGCGATGAGGGCGGTTTTGAATATAAAAAAGCTATTGTTGATACAATAATTGCAATTGTTGAAGATAATTCGAATGCTAAAGATTTGGGTTTATCACATTTGTGTGAATTTATTGAGGATTGTGAACATGCTGCTTTGGCAACAAAAGTTTTACATTTATTGGGAAGAGAAGGACCAACAACAAATCATCCAGCAAGATATATTAGATTTATTTATAATCGTGTTATTTTGGAGACTACACAGGTTGTTTTTTTGTTGTTAAATTTGGAGGGATCGGGGATTTTAGTTTTCTAATGATGATAGAGGGTGGGGGTTCTTGGGGACTTTTAGTGATGAAAAGGAATAATCGAGGGAAATTTTTTGAGAAAAAATTTTTTTTCCATTTCATTCTGTGCCCCAGGTTCCGATTATCTCTAGAATTTTCTAAGTGTGCCGGTCAATGATGATAACTAAAA